GGTGTTGTGTATAAGTAGGTCAGCTTATGACGTCACCATATCGCGAGAGCATGAGTATCTCGAGAGCGTTAGTTTAGACAGACGCTGGAATATGAACGGATAGGAGACGGAGTTTTGTTTTGGGACTTTTTGAAGGAGAATATTCTTTTTGGAACTTATTTACCACTGAACCGACACTCATATTTTCTACTGGAACTTGCATCGTAATTACTGTGGGATTTCATCGGACACTTTCACTGAACTTTGAGCCGATTTATCTCCATTCACTCTCCAGTCGACGGATTCACATCGGACTTTCACACAGGACACTTCATGCTTTCAGATAGGTTTATTTGTGTATTAAGAATAGCTTATTGTTATTGTCATTAGTTTATTTAGTTTTAATAAAATATTAAAACTTCTTTAAATCTTTTGTCATTGATTTTTGCTGGCATTGGGTACTCTGACCCGTAACAATATTAAGTCACCTTGTCCTAATCAAGAGTATATGTATTGTTATTATTACATTCACAAGGGCCTAGAAACCTTGATGTCAATGAAAAGTCAGACGGTACACGATTTAAACATCACTTTAAATGCAATATATGATATGTTACCTGATATTGAAATGAAAGATCAGTCCCGTTCTCAAATTTCATTCAATCAAATTTCTTTAAAAATTTGTTTGGAGTATCAAGTGAATCAGATGTAGATGAACTACGTAAATATGTTAAGCTGTTTATAAAAACAAACGAAAAAAGGTTTGAAGTGCAAGGACACGAATTATCCTCGTTTATGCACAACGTAGACCACAGAATGGAAAACATGAAAAAAGCCGTTGTTCGTAATTATAATTTATCAAAACAATAATGTTCACAATTACAGCAAAGTGATAAGGCAAGGAGTATTGTATTCCATTTATCAAGAATATTTATGCATGAAAAAATGGCAAATTCTCAATTAATGTTTGCGTTTAACAACGTATTGTTAGGATGTTTACAGTTGACAAAAGGGCAATTATCGCCATTGTTGGTTTCCCAAGAGCATTTAAAACAGATTATTAATCAAATTGAAAAGGAAGCACAGAAAACGATCAATCCGCTACATGTTATTTATTGAAATCCTAAATATTATTTCAAGGAAGGACAGTTTACATATGGAAAACACAAAAATTCATTATTCATTAACCTACAAATTCCTATTTCTGCCTATCCCCATACATTAGATGTTTATGAAGTAAAAACATTCCCCGTTCCTTTAAATCAATCTACAAACCACGCTTCACAAATACTGGATCTACCAAAATATTTGGCTATTTCTCACGATAAACAACATTATTTCCCATGAATAATCCTACCTGGAAGAAATGTCATGGAGATCATGTCAAATTATGTCCTTTCGTGTATCCTTTCAGGACTGCGACGCATTTCTCCTGTGTTACAGCATTATTTTTTGACTTGTCAGACGTTATTACTGAAACTTGTAATTTCCGTTTTCTGCGTAATGTCGTTCAACCCAACGTGCGCGAATTATCAACAGGAAAATTGTTGTTATATAATATCACTGATATAACAGTGGAGTGCCCTACAAGTACTACTTCCCAACTAGGCTGTCAATATTGTGTGATACATTACTCATTTTTTTGCGGTTTAACCTTAGATAGTTTTTATTTGCCTCCTCGTGTTTATGATTGCAAGAATGATACATCAATTACAAAATTACACCCTGTTAATCTTGGTTTACTGCAATATTTTTATTCCAATAAAGAAATATCACAAATAGGAAGTAATGATTTCTTTTCTCAACCCCTTGATACTAATTCTTCCAGATTACACATGTACCAACAAGATTTTTCGAAATTTGAATTTAAGAAAACTAGCTCAAGCAGCAAAACACAATGAAAGAATGTATTCTTCAATGGCAGATGCTATTGCAGCAAATGAGATTTTGCTTCCATCAAATTCAAAACAATTTTTAGTTTGGATTTCCTTAGCAGTTTCGAGTGCGATTATGCTCGTTGTGATCTACTTATGTATCAAGATTCGCATTTTAACGTTAACAGCGATGACCCTTAAAAATGTTAATACAGGTGAAGCGATGCCAACTGTACCAACATGGATATTGGGTACAACTACAAAAATTAATTATGAAGTACAAACAACTTGTGATGATCCATATTCCTTCATAACATTTCTAATTGCATGTGTTTGTGTAATTTTGGCTATAGTTTGGATACGAGATAAAATTATTAAGAAATTATGCATCTTCCACAAGGCACTTCTTATTTTAGAAATTGCCAATGACCAACGATGCATTACTATTCCTATTATTCAACTGAATGGAAGTCCTCATTCCTGGCATTTTTATATGACGCAGATCTCTGATATTTTGCAAATTGAAGGTAAAATTAGATCAAATTTATTGATTGATTGGCACGATTTGGTGATAACAAACTACGTAACTGGTCAGACAATACAACTACCAGCACGTGTTCCGATTTCGTTTATAAAAGCAATACAATTAAACAAAATTATTGATCGCGAATTTTACAAATTTTTAGCCATTAAACATGCTGGAATGTTATCCTACATTCGATATTGTCCACAAACGTGCACCGGATCAAACTTAGAATCTTAAATATAACTTGATATTCTCAAACCATCAAATTTTAAAAGAACGGCATAGTAAAATTACGGAGCAAAGCAATTGCATTCATGATGTGTGTACGACAGTTTGTATTTAGAAATATTATTTATGTTAAATGTGTTTATGTGTATGGAATGTACCAATAATTAATAAATTCAGATGGACATATGACACTGAAATGAAATGAACTGATTTTACATGAAATGTAATGAACTCTGTTCCAGAGACAAAATGTTGGAACAAATGAACATTGACTTTTAATGTACATACATATAAGTATATTATATTATTACTATTGTCACAATGAATTATTCAGTGAATGAATATGACATAATTTCATATTTAATTGACATTTATGAATGATTTATAATGGAAATATTAGTGGAGATGTCCAATTGGATATTAGTGAATATACAGGAAATTGTGGACATTTATTCACAAGAATAGTCACAAACACGGACTAGACGTTTATTTTGTTGTAAATGATGCAGAATAAACATTATTTTCATTGAATGAACTTTAATTTAATCATTCAAATTATAAAAAAATTATATCCTTGACAAATGGTTAATGATTTAAATGTCATTAACATATTGCGTAATATGTTAAGAATTACTATTAAATAATATACATGTAAGTATATTGTTGTTACCTTAGACTTTATACACTTTATAACGATATATTATTAGCAGTAGACTAAATTGCATGCAAATTAATGTATTGGAATTAATTTCTGTTTTAGAAAGCAAGATGACATGGAACAACAAATATAAATTTTTAAAGGAATTATTGTTTTTGAATATCAACAAATTGTGGATGTACGTAAATGTATTATAAATAGTGGTTATTCACAACCATTAAGGAAAACACTACAGTATGGATGATAATAACAAACGAAATGCAGATTTTCACCACGGACAATGTGCTGGTCACAATGTTGGTGATGATGGCTGTATATTCGAAAAGGAGTCATGACCCTATAATCCAACGTAGTGTATTTAAGAAAATATTATAAAAATGTGTCAGAGCCATAATAAGAGAATTACATGTTAAAGTTACACAAAATTATTAATAAAGTTCAGCATGTGTATTCTTGGGCCGCACATTAAAGACAATAAAGGAAAATACATTACGCATCCACGCGTATCGCAAAATTTGATTATTATTATTTATCCTTTCTAATATATTCATTGTTTCATGTCAACTAAATAACTATATATATATATATATATATATTATACCATATTATTAAGTCTAATGACAGTATTTTAAAATTTTTAAATAGTTTTTTTTTAGTTATGCAATGCTTGTGCTTCTACATTCAATAAAATAGAGAGAATGTATATCGTAATAAAAAAAAGGGAATTCGAGGACGAATTTATTTGAAAAGAGGGTGTATATCGTAATGAAAATGATTAAAAGTACAGATACAAAGTTGTGATCGTAATGAATACATTGTACCTTTTATAATTGATACAATATACATTTGTTAAGAGGATAAACAGTGTAAGTAAGAGAGTTAAAGAGTGCATGTGTTGTTCAATAATAAAAAAAGAATAAGGGAGTATAGTTATCATTCCTTCAGGATGATACAATGAAAAATGTGTATTAATAGAAATGGCGACCTAAGGTCAAGTAACATACCATTGCCTAATAAGAGAATGATTATATTTTGGTAATGACGTAATGATGGAAAGTTATGGAAAAAGGGATAATCATAGACATTGTGTAAGAGCTGAGGAATTATTACATTACCAAATAAGGTAATGTAGGAGAAAGACTTTGTGATACATCATGACATTGGAATGATGATCTATAGGATAAAAGAGAATACATTGTAACTGGAAAATAAGAATATACGAATAAATCTTTTAGGCTCCCAAAAGATGTATGTTCTTCATTTATAGTACTGGCGGAATAAAAGGTACTATAGTAAACACCCTGATATTTTAGAAGTAAAATCTAACGAGTCTTGAAGATGTGAATTGCTTTAATGTTATCATTTTGTTTACCAATGAGGCTCAGTTTTCGCAAATTGTAAATAAACGCGATCGACAGCAGAACAGCTTTTGTTTTCAGTAGTCTTTGCAATTTTAATGTCGACGGTGAAGTCGCTCCGGACATTATTAAACAAACAGTGCACAGTCTTGATGGGACTACGAAATATAGTACCAAGTGAAAGGAAATACGAGCAGGACCTCAGCTTCCTCTCACTGGGCATAATTCTATTTGTTTTTAAATTCAAAATGCACACAGGACTACCAGGACCCCAAGAGGGAGGGGTCGTGAGAGGGAGGGTCGCAAGCTAGCTAAGACATTGTGGTTGAAAGCAAAGCCGTCTGTTAACTGTGTCACACACAACATTATCAAGTTGTCTAATATATCATTTAAAAGAAATCGAGATAAAAAAATTAGTTGGAGACTGCTATGGTTCACTCAACCGTCGAATTCAATCAATAACTGATGTTCCTGAGCTTGCGTCCCGCCGTCCGCTGTGAGAGGAATGGATGTCCTTGGAATGGATATCAGGGGTCCTATGTAGGGTAAAACATTTTTTTGTGGGGGTGGGGGGACGGGAGGGGAGAATGGGTGCCTAATAAGGATCCGCCCTTGTCATAGAGGAGGCAAATCACGGATATTAAATCGCTCCATTATATACTCGGAATGAATGTGTTTTTATCTTGTTGACAATTCTCATAGAATTTTTTTCATGACGCTTTCAATATTACAGTTTTAAGACTCAAAGCCGAGGATGTTGTCCATGTATAAACCCGAACACCAAGCATGCAATCCGTTGATGCAAAATCTTCATCCATTCATTACTTGAAGTCATGGGGGTGATTTTCAATAAGTTGAGAAATGAAAACGACCGTTTTCAGTTGTAAACATGCAGAGTCAAAATATGCTACATTTTGAAGAAAAGCACAGAATAAATCACAAATGAAATCGATGAACTGAAAAAATTTGTGTATTGCAGACAATTATAAAATGGGCACATTCTCTGTGTTAGTTCTACTGCTGGTGGCAACGTAGGTTGTTTATGTGTTCACGTATGTAATATAAGGCTTTGCCACTTTAAATTTTGTACATTATTTAAGCTCTGTTATAAATAGTTGACATGGACATAATTGCAATTTCAGTTTATCAACAATTCTCATGCAAAGGGGACAAGTTGTAATGGTGGCAGAAGAGCAGCTGAATCGGTAGCACTGATGCACTTTTAACAAAAGCCCTAAATGCTATAATAGCAGCGTTAACGCCTTGGCTTTCCGTTGACGTTACCAGCTCTATCCAGACAACAGCAGCATTAACATCGTGGCTTGTCGTTACCAGCTGTATTTTTATATATTTTGCAGGGACAGGCGGAGGTTTTCCTCTTCAGTATTATTCACCCTAAACATATTAATTACCACTGAAAGAATTTTAACTAGTGGACAAACCTTGTAGTTAAAGTAGCATTGACCTACTAGTATTTTTGCTTCCTTGAATAATTATGATTAACTGAATTTTTCCCGGAAAATAAATCCAAACGCTTTATTGAAATACATGCCGCAGCAGTTGGTGCCATATTAGTTTAGATGGGGGACTACAGATCCAACTCAATGATCAAATACAAATAATTAAATATTAGATGTATCTTTAGGTTTATTGTCGCGAAATACATGAAATGCATCCTTTTTCGACAAGTGGACAAAACGTTACTATGGTACCGTTGGACCTCTTAATACGTCAGTTTATCAATTTTCTTGTTAGTAAATGAAACGGTATAATACGTATATTTGTCCAGATGAGATGTTCTTGTTAAATATATTTAAAAGGAGCATAGAACCGATCCAAAGAACCAATATTAATTTTCTGAATAATATATTCATAGGTTGTTATATTGCCTCGATATGAGTCATTCATCAGGTCTCAAGGATGGTTGTTCTTTCCTCAGCGCATCGTGTTTCCACCCCCCCCCCCAAAAAAAAAAATTAATTAATAATAACTAAATAAATAAACCAAGGAGCAAAAAACGAGAACAGTCATGTGTGTTGTCATGATAAAACCTTTAGTCACCCCTGAAGATATAAGACTTGCAATTTAGATATCACTTGATAATGAAATGGCAGTGGATTATTAATAAATGAAACACCATCCATTTATCTATAGCCTATCAATTTCATTAAGTGAAATGATTCATCAATATTAAAAGTAACTTTAATTCTTGTTTTCGTGCTACGATGGTTGGTCAAGCCACCATCCTATTTGACTTGATGACAAGCAAAATAAGGACTGTTAACACGTCCATTAAGAGCGCCCCCCCCCCCCCCCCAACACACACACACAGACAGGAACAACCAGCTCACTGCCGCTAGCAGCATATGACTGATAAATCACGCTGTACTTTGATATCACCCTCACTGTGATGTGAATATATATAACTTTATCAAACAATACTTTAGAGTTATTAACATGCGCCATGGCCTTGGTATATCATAATAGGGTTGGGCCGTTCTGACTATGTAGACTTTGACACCGTCCTCGTTATTGACAACATCACCTGATTGTTGACAAATTTGAAGCAGTATAGATAGCCTATGAAATGATATATAAAGCCTTCGCAGCGGTCTGGCAGTAGTAGAGCGGGGAAGCCTGCATGTAGGGGGCGGGGCGCTGTGTCCACTCTTGGCGCCTATACCATGTCAATGGCTTCGAAAGAGATGTGTAGCGTCTTCAGTAAAAACTTTTTAACGTGTCATATATGCCTGAAGGAATATAAAGACCCGAGATTGCTCCCCTGTTACCACACATTCTGCCTGGAATGTATTGCTGACCATACAGCCAAGAATGGTGTCCAGAACAAGTTCTCCTGTCCCGTGTGCCGCCAAGAGGCCCCCGTACCACCAGGTGGGTTAGAAACTCTCGTGAGAAACTTCTACATGAGAAAAGTAATAGACTTCATGAAAGATCAGAAAGCTCCGGATGGGAGACTTTGTGAGTATTGCAACCATAAAGAGGCCACTTTCATGTGCCAAGGGTGTCCAGAAACCAACCAACTGTGCGCTACATGTCGTGAGTTTCATGACAAAATCCCGTCTTGTAAGGGCCATTCGTTAGTGCCTCTGTCACAAGTCGATTTGTCAGTTAACCCAGCTAACATGCGAGAACAATTACGCCATGTATTGGATAAATCTCAACACTGTGACAAACACGACGGCGAGTTGTTGACTTTCTATTGTGAAGAGGATGACACCGTGGCATGTAGAGATTGTATTTTGGAAACTCACAGTAAACATGACTTTAAAAAGGTAGGGGATGAGGTGAAAGTTCAACGAGATCTGATACAAGACAAGATTAAATTTCTTACAACAGAAAAACTGTTTCGTTTTGAAAAGGCAGAAAAAGCCATTGTGCAAACCGAAGACGGGCTGACTGAAAATCACACGAAGGTTCTTCGTTTGGTGGATTCTCAGAATTTAGTTATGACTAAGGAGATAGATGAAAACAGTGCAATCATTAAAAGAGAAATCAAAGATTATTATCAACAACTAGAGAAAGACGTACGTGAACAGACGGACATATATTTGACCACTGTCAAACAGCATTTGGAAACTTATGAAACAAAAGTACAGTCCGATTACACCGAAATGAAAAGATTTATAAATGGCAGAAGCAGGGAAATAATGACAGAAGTGAAGGCACTCACATCCACGCAGCTGAAGAATCTAGAAGCTGAAAAGGACAGGCAAGAAATGAACAAGATTTTAATTCAGAGCATTCGTGATTTCGCTCAGCAGCTCACAGACTACGGTTCTGACACCGAGGTCAAGACCCACTCTAAAAAACTCCAAACTAAAATCCAAGAGTTACAGACAGTAGAACCAGTCTTTGATACCAAGATCACCGATATAACATTTACACCAGGGCAAACAGAAATGGACGTAATGCTACAGTTTCCTAAAATCCCTGAACCACAGCTGTCCATCAAAACAGGGTCCATTACGGCCAAAACATACCGCGGTCCCTTGAATGCACATTTTGGAAGTTTGAAACAAGAGAGAGCGTACTATCCCGAGCTCATGAAATTTCAGAAAGTCACATGGCCTCATGCACCAGAGCGAAATGTGCGTTTTAATGTTAAGGATTTGCTGTGGGATATCCAGTGCACAGATGGCGGTTGTCTTTTAGTTTTACATGGTGACTTAAGCGGGTGTAGAACAGTGTCCGTATTCTCAATCACAGGTCAATGTAATCGTAAGATCAGTATAGAGGGAGGGGCGAGGTGTATCACTACAGTCAGTAACGATAGATTCGTGGTCACATGCAGAGATAAATACTGCAGACTGTATTCAACATCAGGTCAGGTTATCCGATGTTTTGGTCAGGGTGATATGTCTAACCCCTGGGGTGTCAATGTAGACCGTACAGAGGGTAAGCTGTACGTGTGTGATGGCGGTGCACAGTGCATCTGTGTGTGCGACATAAAATCTTTTCAACTTGTTAACAGAATTCCTATCCCAATGTGCAGTAAAGGTTCACTGCGCTGTGCATACCACCACGGCATCAGTGCAATCATAGTCAGCGACAACAGTGCCCACTGTGTGTATGCAGTGACACCCCAGGGTGACGTCATGTTCCAATACGGAGCACGAGGTCAGAGTGGAAGTGAAGACGGACAACTGAGTTATCCACGGGGAGTGTGCGTAGATAAGTTTGGACACATATTCATAGCTGACTACGGTAATCACAGGGTGGTTGTCCTTGGTTCAGACGGAAGGTTTCTACATAATATTTTGTCAAGGAGTGACGACATTGGGCATCCTATATCAGTTGATGTTAACAGTAACGGAGAACTTGTTGTTGTAACTATCAGATGTGAGATATCCATATATAAGTATATTCATAAGAAATGACTTATATCATTTGACACTATGATGATGTTCGAGTTATGATATCAACCACTGAAGAAAATGTAGAGAACACACTACAAACGTTCTTTAAAACCATCCAGCTCTGTTTGTTTAATATACATACTAAAAGTGTGAGATAATTATGAATGAATTCGATAAATATAAGAGTAAAGACATATGATATCAATTTCATGTTTTTATCACTTTTGCCCGCTGCAAATCAACATATAATTCATTTTATTAACAGCTCCTTTTTTAACTTTTAGAATTGGATTGTTTACAGAGATCTTTTTTTGTCTATTTATGAATTAAATTGGTATTATTTTTATTATCATTATTATTATTAATGTTAATTGGCGTATGGTGGATATGGCATATAACAAGAGTTATAAAGATGAGACTCTGCCGATTATTGGTACTATTCTAAAATACAATTTGATGTTTTAGAAATAAAATCAAATGCGTTTTGATTATGTGAATTGTCGTCATCATGAATTTCATAAGCACTGAGATTCAGCAAAAACAGTGGCCGCCGCAACAATTTTGTTTTAATAGTCTCTACTGTGGAATTTTTGAACCAAAAGTGCACAGTCTTGAGGGGACTTCCGAATGTTGTGTCCAGTTAAAAAAAAAAAAAAAAACAAAACAAAACAAAAACACGAGCAGGTTCCTTAACTTCCGTTCCTTGTACTTCGCAGTTCTGTCAGGAGACATAAGATACATACAGTGGCGGGTTTGGGGGGGGGGGGGGGTGTCCTGACCTCTCCCCTTCAATTTCAATAAATAGCAAGAATTATAAAGAAAGGACTTTGCTGGTTATTTTCGATCTATCTTCGTGCAGCTAAAATATGAATTATCGGCGTTCATATATTTTCTTGCAATGTATAAGCATATGTATCTGAAAGCTTTAATCGTCAATTTTAACACCTTTCTACATGTATTTTGAGGTGAGATAACGATCGGTATGGGGCGAACAAGATTTTACCCCAAAAATTGGCAGAGTTGACCAGGTGTGTATAGACTACAATCCCGTGCCATATTTTTGGTTTAAATGTTTTTGTTATGGAGTTATGAGCCCCTTATTCCAGATTTTCATTAAACAAATCACAATTTTGCTTTATCAACGATAAAATCTGAGGTAAGACTTTTAAGAAAATTCGCTGGCAGGGTTTGGAATACTATATGATATCATTACATCGGCGTTGAACGGTGATCGTGGATGCTCAGGTCAAGGAGAAATTTGGGAAACAGATTTTTTTTTAGATTTTACACCAAAATCGCAATTATGACGTCACACGTAAGATGAAATGTGTGTAAATGTAAATAAATTTAGTCAATACACACCAAAGATTTGTTTATTACCCAAACAAATGTATGGAAGGCAGTAAATAAGGAGTTTTGGGCGAAGGGTTACAACATTCGTAGCACGTTTTCAGTATGGATCACAATAAACAACACCTAATTTCTTTGCTTTGTTTTTATATTATTGTATTTATTATGCTGGCAAGCAGCGGATACCGCCATTAGTTATACCTGTATACTTTCAATAACATATACTTTGTTATTTTCTTGTCTAATATTTCATTAAAAGAAACAGCATATCTGTAAATAATTGGCTTAATTGGCTTCTTCTTTGAATTATGAAGCCACCGATTTCAAGTCATAAATGATGTTCGTATATTTTCGTTCCGACGCTCGGCTTGCCCGGCCAGTTACTGCCTCCGTGTCAGTCAATTAACACTGGTTCCTGCAGGTGGTCTTCCAGTAAAGAAGCTCAAACCTCCCGTAGCAGCCCTTTAATTTCATGCACCTGTTAACAGCACACAACTCATATGTCCCGCCGTTGAAACACTCTCCTTCCAACTGTTTTATAGAGTAAAATTTCCGAGATCCCTGGATGTAACCGCACACCTCGTACTTCCCTTTCTTGGCCGTGCTCCTGGAATTGGTAATAATATGTATATATCACAGTAAGATCACGGACTAAAAGGATCATTTGAATTTTAAAATAGCTGATAGCCAATTTGTCTTTTAAGACAAGAATTAAAATTAAGAGCTATATGAAGTTCAGTAAAAAGGATCGCCCAATAGCTTTATTGTCCCAGTCTGTCGGATCTGAAGACCTTAAAGAGATTGGACGAATTAAATTTACACAAATTAAGTCCTGAACTGATCTACATTAATTATCAAATATTTCAACGTGCGTCTTGGAACTCGGTCAAAACGGAGGATAGATCAAAAAGATAATTTGGAAGGTTCTCAATAATACTGTATATGGACCCTGTGAGGGAACTTATGGTTTACTAAAGCAAACAATGTCTACACAAAATGATGTAGAGTTCTATATACTTATGATCATAAATATATGGTTTATGTTGCCAATAGCATTGAGGGATATGACTGGTAAAAGAAACCACATTTATCCACTCCGATATTTCTCAAATGTGGTGTATACCCAGGCAAGTCAAGGTTTCACGTGGACAAAATTGCAAGATAATTTATTATTCGCCATGTATTTACGTGAAGGCCCCTAATCAACCCACTATAAGTCCCAAGGAAGCCCTGCATGGGAAACGTGACAATTCAAAATGGCCGCCAAATACACTTCTGCATATATGACCTGTCCCATGCCAATGCCTCATCACAAATTTACGCTACATATTGATTTATTTGCAAACATTTCCTATTTAACATCATATTAAAGTTTTATGTTAAATCCTAAATGACACCCAACACTCAGTTAAATAACTATCCACTACAGTTGTCTTCAATATTGATGCATTAAACTTTTCAAGCATGATTTAGAGCTCATCATAAATTCCAGATATTTTGTTGACTTAGATTTTAACATTGAAGTTGTACGCAAAATTTAAAGCTTTATATTGTTTAACAAGGAGGGCGTGGTCCGGTATCATAGGTATACTCTAGAATGGGCATTTGCGGCCATCTTGGATAAAACTCTCGGGCCCAGTTTTATCAATATGGGATAGCGCTATCCTATTGCTAAATAAAATTGTTATCCTCTGGAAAGTTATCCTGGGGACAGCAATCTTTTTTAACCCATGGAAAGCAGTACCAGAGACAAAAATAAGTTTCTAGTGTTAAGTAAACGTTACTTAACGCACAGGATAATTGCTCATAGGATAACAATTCCATCCAATGGATACCGTCATCCAGAAGATAGCGCTATTCAGAGTTGATGAAACTGGGCCCAGCCTGCCTTAAACATGACACTAAGTGTATTGGAAACCACTCTGACATGTAATATAACAAAAGTCTGACCTAGAAGAGAAATGATTTAATATTTTAGGAAAACACATATAGCGGGGAAAATATAGGGACTTGTATGGCTGTTATGGCTATTGAATTTGACGGCCATCTTGTAAAAACATCTATATTTTCAAATTTTGCACCGTGACCATAGTTTAGTAGAGATGTAGTGCATATTGTTCTTTACCTTTTGCCGCAGGTAACTATCCAACGATGGGATGTACTAGTGCAGTTCTCACATTTTCCTGAAAAGTTTTAATCAACTACATATTTTTCCATAAAGATGAAAACAAAGAAAGAAAAGAAAATGAAAGTATTAATGAAAATACTTATTAAGATATGCATAAAACAGGGGTCTATCGACGTGCATTATTTTTTTATAATTTTCTGAAGGACATAGTTACATTATAAAGCCATTGGAATATTTTTCATAACTGAAAAAAGTATCTGTATGCTATTATACTTTAAATGTCTACCTCTCAGCCCATATCCCCCCAACACGCACGCATACATATACATACACACACATGCACACACCTGAACACATAAACAGAAGCACACACACGCACATGCCAACACGCGCAAACACATATACATACAAATACCCTTGGCTACACACAAACTCTTCCACACTTCTCCTTGACCTACTTATCCATTACATACCTCAAACGTACATTGGGTGACTGGAATGTTACAGTTAATAACCGAGACCGTATAATGTCTATCTACAGAGAGCGAAACAACCATTATCATGTTGGTTTCTGAATAACAAGAACTCACATATAAGTTTTTGGTGTTGAGGAATGCATCACGCACAAAAACCACTCGTACCTAATTTTTCTAAGTATTTCTCCCAGTTTTCTTTGTCCTCTTCTTTGACGTCGTTGTCGCCTTCGTCTTCAAAACTATCTTCAGTTTGTTCTACAAATTAATTTATTTACCATTATGGTATACATTTTTAAGTAATAACGCAAACGAAAAGACGAGGATTCTTATACTTTTTAGAAAATTTACAGTCTGTTTTGTTCTACAATCCACACGAATGAGGTATAGCTGTATCTTCTTGTATAACCCTACTCATTAACTAAATTATTGATAAACAAAATGTTTCTTAACATGAGTGTTACAATTTTTTGTTATTTGCCTACATTATTATAGAGAAGAAATTCAAAATAAATTCAAAATTCTTTGTTAATCAAGAAGAAGTGCAAAAGCGACCTAAAAACAAAGCTACCGTTACCATCATCATCGCTGTCGTCATCATACAGAATTCTTTTTAACACGTCGAGGATGTTTGTGAAGGAGCTGCGTTTCTCTCTCGTGTCGTCTGCAGAGCAGTTCACCACCCCCAGAGCGGCGCACAGCAAGATCAATATCCCCACGACAGGCTTCATGCTTCTCCTGGCGTCTGATGAAGACGGCGTCCCTCCCTCTTTAAGTGAATGTGGCAGCAGTAGGTAGGTGTACGGGTAGTTTGGGTGAAGACGTTTGCTCCTCCGCGTGGATGCACACGACTGACTCAATGTGAGACGCTAGACGGTCTGGTTAAGAAGATTTCTGTACCCCTTAGTGTCACCAGTGAGGGGCGGTTTAATATATGGAGGCGTTTTTGGTCTAATTTCATGCAAGCACACTGGTCGGCGGTTTAAGAGACATCCATGTCCTTATATATATCCATTAGGGACACATTTATAGGCAAATGATGGCTGCAAATGTTTTGTAACGTCTACTTCAAAGTGGAGCAAACATTTTAATTGGTGTAGTTTTATCCAGGGACGTAATAAGACGCCTAACCCTGCCTCCCCCCTCTCTCTCTCTCTCTCTCTCTCTCTCTCACACACACACACAAACACACACACATGCACGCGTGCACGCACACACACACAATGAAATACACGCAAACAGAAATAAGAGAGACAGAAAGAGAAAGAGATACTAACTGTCTTCTATGGTTACATCTAAATTAAGCCAGTGGTATACGGGTGATATCAAATCATTGTGTCACCGCCAGTTCTGTGTTATTGCGGGTCATGTAAACAGAACACCATCTGATATCTCATGTGCCTCTAAAAATGTATAGAATTTTGTAACAGACTGCTAGCAGATTCTGTGGCCAAACAGGGTCACCACAGGAAACCGCTTCAAAGGTGCGCGAGCATTGAGCCTTTGAGCTAACATTTACTAGTGTTTGTCACATTATCTTGATACGATTCATGTACTGACTTTTCAGGGTTATGGATTCAAGATTCCTTTTATCCTCGGTTTACTGAAGAAACGGGCGATTTGTAAAGTCAGTCAGTGTATCTTGAAATCTCATGCGAGTCAATCAAATATGAAGAACCGTTTTGGAACTCTCTTTGGCGTCTCAGCGGTAGACAGACTCGGCAAAAGAGACCCCCTCCCTCCGTTTATATCCTGGCCGTCAACAAACTGAAAAGATTTATCTGATATATGACAACACATACACGGCCCAACGTTTATATAAAAGACATTTACTTTAAAACATAAAGGAGAAGGAAACGATAACGTGAGCTTACTCGGACCATGAGACAAGCTGCTGTGAAGCACCATGGATTCTGGCAACGTGGTTCTTGGGGTGTTGCTGAGCGTTAACCATTGAGTCTATTAGTAGCGGTATGGAAATATCTTGAAAACTTTGACTTGTGGTTGGACTGTAATTACATGGAGATCAGTTTCAGTAATTAATGTGTCGGGGTGGCACACGTAACTACACTGGTGTCGAGTCCATGAGATTTATTAGATGGGAAAGTATATACTTTAAATTTTACTTTGCAGTTTATACCTCTGGCTCTTGTATTCTCTGGTATTGAGAAACCGCTATTGTTAGGTAAAGCGATTTTAATTGAATTAAAATTAAAATGTTTTGTTTTTGTTGTTGCCATTACAGCATGAATCCGCCTGCACGTTTAATCATTTACTGAGTGGACTGAGTGAACCAACCCCCCCCCCCCCGGCACCTCCCCTCCCTCCCTCCCACACCTGCATACTTCACCGGGTGGTAATATTGACAGGAACGCGCGTAGGCTGTCCTCGGTATGCCAGACCACTTAATACCCCACCCCTACACAAACACAAACACAAACACGCATAACGTTCATTTAGCCATTATGGCACATTGTCGTTGTCCTCGCCAATGTCCTTGGTGTCACTTTCCGTGTCACCTGTCCTCGTCTTCCACGCTGAACTAATACCAAACCACGGTTCCACTCCTTAGTGAATTAACACCAACTTTAAAATAAATGTTATAAACAAACCCCGGGAATTAGCATTTTGTCCAAATTACTTTACTCCTGCATTACAATCGTTGACAAGAAATCACTGTGGATGTGACAGTTTTATGTGTTCTGGTTTTCAGGTGACAGTTTGTCTGCTGGTAGAGGGAGCTCAATTGTTTTGTTTTGCTTTAAAAAGCTAATTCTGGTAGATTTATGTGCCACGGTTTAAGACAACAGCTGAACTGTAAAGACACTGAGATCATCAATACACCTACGCTAATAGCTTGTAGACAATTATATTTCTTCTGCCAGACAGAAGTGGCATGGATCGTATCATATGACTGACGCCCATTTTAGGTTGACTGCCGTTAAAAAAATTACAGTGAACTTAACATCTTGGGTAGATGATAACAAAAAAGAAAAAAAGAAAGAAATGCATTACAAAGCACATGTGAAATTTTCTATCTTTAATGAAAGCTGTATCTTCTACAGTGGACTAGCGTCCTAACAAATGTCAGATATCTGAATCGACACTGGTTCTCCAACTGCGTTTACAGTTTTGGAGGACTTTGCGAGGAGTCGATTTGTGTGTTACCATTACAGCGAAAATAACTTTATGACACCACGGTTCACTATAGAAACGGAAAATAAGAGAACATTTTGTTAAGTTGGCTTCAAGTTTTTAAACATCTAAAACTTACAAATAAAAACTGTGTATCTAAACAACGAAAGCTTGTTGGGGATTCAATTCTTTCTTTTATATCCCAAACCAGAAAACATCATTGCAATTCTACAATGTGTTCTATAATCCTCTCGAGGAAGCTGTCAGTAAAAATAATTACCAATAAAAGGACATGTTTTGACCTTTTGATCTACTTTTTTATTAGGAACGATTCCTTTTCCAATAACCATTGTAATGTAATCTGTACATCCTTTTGCTGTGAATATCATTTACAAATTTGTGTAAGAAATCCAGCATTTTAATGCCATACAAGTTGATATGTTTAAACAACTAGTATTAGTCAAGTGTGTTCTTAGATCTGTCAAAGCACAAAGATCGATCCATCTGGATAGAGAGCGTATCTAGCAGACGTTGCGGCATTTCTTGGTGTACACCTCGCACGTGATTGGTCCGTTGCAACCGGAAGTGAGCACGCATCTCTTTGACTCACATTCCTTCACTTCGCCTGTGCATTTGCTGCCTTCCTTGCGTTTACAGTTCTGGAATCTTTGACCGCCTTAAGAGAAAAATATTAATATTCTAATTTATCTATTTTCAAACGATGGAACAATCAAACTGCAATACAAACTCATATACACAAACACATTTTTTTAATTTTAGAACATTAGCACACCAAAAAAGACCAAGATATCCATGACCAGGACCAAAAAATCTGAGGTATTTTGTTTTCTAACCGACAGTCATCATGTCTAACACCACTATGTATTTAATGTGACGTGGACTGCACGTATTACATACGCTGCCTGAGGAACATTGCATTTAAACTAAAATATATCTTGAATTAACTTGCTTCAGGGAGGTAATAGAGCTGAGGTTCACGTTAAAAATTCTTCATGAAATTTTGTTGATTTTTTCAGATATCAAAAAGGGGTCAAATTTAAGTGTTTATTCAGTAATTAACTAATTGACCATAAACAATTAATCAATAATTAAAATATATTATTTTAATAAGAAATGAGGTTATTAATCAGTAAATTGGTAAACAATAAAAAGAACGACTTATTAACAAAAGATATAAGAGAATGAGAATTGTCTTGTCTTGGCTAACTTAATGTGTATATTCGCTGGCTAACTTACTGTGTATGATCTGTTGACTTACTTTCTGTGTATAATCCGCTGGCTAACTTACTGTGTATAATCCGCTGGCTAACTTATTGTCTATTATCAGCTGGCTACCTTACTGTGTATAATCCGTTGGCTAATTTACTGTGCATAATCCGATGGCTAACTTACTGTGTATGATCCGGTGGCTTACTTATTGTGTATAATCCACTAACTAACTTACTGTGTATAATCCGATGGCTAACTTACTGTGTATAATCCGTTGACTAACTTACTGTGTATAATCCGTTGGCTAACTTACTGTGTATAATCCGCTGGCTAACTTATTGTCTATAATCCGCTGGCTAACTTACTGTGTATAAACCGTTGGCTAACTTACATGTACTGTGTATAATCCGTTGGCTAACTTACTGTGTATAATCCGTTGGCTAACTTACTGTGTATAATCCTCTGGCTAACTTACTGTGTATAATCCTCTGGCTAACTTACTGTGTATAATCCTCTGGCTAACTTACTGTGTATAATCCGCTGGCTTACTTACTGTGTATAATCCGCTGGCTAACTTCGCACACTTCAAACTCGCCGCTCTCAACGTTCTTCTCGCTGACTCTGCAGTACAGAGGTCGGGTGTGGATGTCTTTCTTTTCACACTTGTGGCACTTCAGGTACTCCTCTAGCCCGATCAGTCCTGGGGAGTGGCAAATAAAAGACAATGTGTTTAAATGGATAACGACTCTTTATTTTGGCTAAAAATTTATTCTCCTGGGGTTAATAACAATTTTGCCATAATTACTAATGGTTACTGAATCCGTTCCGACATTCAAAGTTTTTTTTTTTTTTTTTTTTGGTTATAATCTCTTAAAAGATAAATACAGAGAGCAGCCAACTATGGAAGTCACGTGGTAAGATGGCAATCACAAATTCCAAAATAATTGTGATAACCGCCGTTGTCGTGGTAAAAAACTTCATATCTATGAGTTGTTTGCAATGTATTTATTGTGAAATATGTATATCATTCGAAGAGTTGTTATCCGTTCAATATATGTACAATATACTACGAAAGAAGCTTCTTATGGTATGTAGATAGGATAATAAAATATAATTTATTACATGTACAGCATGGTGCTTTGTCTACAGTTTACCTGCAGAAATAGACAAAGTAATGGAAAACGGACTAACGGTTCTACACACCGGATACACACCACTCCTGTCACAGCAACTCTCTCTTTACGCTTACCTTATGAAGTGAACTGCCTTTTTCTAATTTCTGTTCTTTTTAATATTTTTATATTTCTGAAGCATTCATAACTAGGCCTGTGACTTTTATAATAGACCAACACAAGTAATACCAACCGGAAGCGGTTCGGGTAGTACTAATGCCGTGAAGGAAAATTAAAACTACTAGTTAAACCATCTCCATCCATGTCAACCCAAGTTCTGACACCGGCATCTTAGAAAGGACGTGTCACTGGCAGTGTGGACAACAGCGATGACGTCACCAGGCACCATCACAGAGAGTCAGAGAGTATTGGCAAACCTTTTCTGTTAACAGCATACATCTGGCGTCCCCAGGCTCCCACTGAGTGTCACTGGCAACCCATATACACACACTGGACAATAGAAGTGTCACCCCTACTGAACCAACACTTTGGGGGAGATAAATAACTGTTGAATGATATGCTCCTGGTATAATTTTACTAACATCAAATTTCATAAAAAGACCAACAATACAATTCCAGGGTACAGCGATTTTGTATTCATTAGTCAGTAGACCAGGCATTATAGAAGCGTCACCCCCTGAATCAGAGTAATCAAAGTTATAACTTTGATTACGCTGATTCAGGGGGTGACGCTTCTATAGTCCAGTGTGTTTATTATTCAAACGTGGCCTGTGCTATGTCCAGCAATCAGGGAGACACCGAAAAACTTAAACTGTGTGTTAACAACAATGAATCCAATAGTTATATATCCCTTCTGTATTTTATGTAAAGAAGCAATGTCATTATGCTGTAGAAATGAATTACTTACCTCTTAGAGTCAGGTCTTCATCATGGTCGTCTACCTCTTCCTTCTCTTTGGCGTCGTCTTTCTCCTCTGTTTTCGAATGTTCAGAACTTTTGTCTGTTTCTTCTGTTGAGGGAAGTATATATTATTTACACTCAAAAAACCGTTTGTATAAATATTTATTTCTATATTTCTAGCTTAAGTACTTGAGGAAAAAATAACACGCTTTTGTAAGAATACATTTTAATATCCATTTTATCTCGCCTGACTGTAGCCAGTTAAACAGTCATTAATGCTAAACTGACACAAAAGGACTATTTATTATGTATGCCAGATAGTCTGGGATAGTGTGTTTTCTCATGACCATATACTTAAAAACAAGACAGTATTTTGAAAAATAGCCCTTCAACTCACCGTCCAGTAGACGCAACAGGAGCTTCTTTAACGTATTTTCCCTGTCGCCAGCGCTGGTGGCGGAGACGACAGCACACAACATACACAAGAGCAAGACGATCCTCATGGCGGAGACGGGGGTTGAGACGACACAAACAGTGATGATACCGTGGCTTAAGAAACCAGACAGCAAGACGCGGGCAGAGGCGTGCGTGACGGAGTGAACGACGCTAGCGTTCCCAGTTTATAGTAGGGGATAAGTAGTTAACCGCTGACACCTTACGTGTTTGTGATACAGCGCGTTTAATTAAAGAAAATGCCGGGAGGTATTTAATGTGTTTTTTAATGAGAGGAGAGAGGGTAATGGTTTCGAAAATAGTGCTTTGGAACTAAGGCAAATTCTTCACAGGTGCAGGCAGTAACTGTTGCATGAATGAAGGTGCCACTTGAATATAATATCAGACTGAATGTCAGAGATTGGCCCTGGTC